TGTGTGTGTGTGTGTGTGTCTGTCTGTGTGTGTGTGCGCGTGTGTGCAGGTAAACTGCTGCAGGTGAACACAGGAGCTAAAGAGCAGCTTTTCTTCGAGGCACCAAGAGGAAAAAGACAAACAATCAAGAACTCTGAGGTCAGCGTGTGTGCACGTGTATGTGTGTGTATGTGTGTGCACGTGTATGTGTGTGCATGCCCATTCACTCAGGATAAACATCATACGAGGAGGAGGGGAATGAAATCTTTACTGTGCTCCTCTGTAATTCTGCAACACACATGAACATCCAGCAGAGGTCAGAACTCTGAACACACAGTGACATCATACACATCTAAACACTTCCTGATGACGTTATCGACAGAACTTCATGAAATATTTGTATTTTTTCTTCAGACAAACAGATGTTTATCTGTTTGTCTGTGTACAGAACAAGAACAGAGACACATTTTCAAATCCAGTAACGTGGCTGTGGATGATGAGACGTCTCAGAAATGTTTGTTGGTCTTCCTCATATTGTTGTGTGTGTTGTGTTGTTCTTTGTGTAGCTGGAGCGGGTGGACTGGTCCAGCTGGACGTGCGTTCTGGGTTCAAGCTGTGAGGGAATCTGGCCGACGCACAGCGACATCACCGACGTCAACGCCGCGTCGCTCACCAGAGACCGAGCACTGCTCGCCACCGGAGACGACTTCGGCTTCCTCAAGCTGTTCAGCTACCCTGTCAGAGTAAGACAGGTTTTATTTACCGCTGAACTCAGCGTGAGATACAGATTTTCTCCAAACTGTTTTCAGCTACTGTTGCCTGAAGAATTCTGTGTTACCCTTCAGGTAAAGCAAAGATAGACGTGTCCTTCAAAAGCCCGGAGACGTAATAACTTAATCTGGATGAAAGTAAAACTGAAAACAGATGAGCAGGTGTATTTCTTCTCTCCATCCTCCGTCCAGGGTCAGTACGCTCGTTTTAAGCGTTACGTAGGCCACAGCGCTCAGGTGACCAACGTCCGCTGGGCTCAGGATGACTCAACCCTGCTGACGGTGGGCGGGGCTGACACCGCCCTGATGATCTGGGCGAGGGAACGAGGAGGCGGGGTCGGTGGGGACGGGGAGGGGCCTTTGTTCCGTGACAACCGACCCCCTGTGGACAGCGAGGAGTCGGACGACGACACCGAGGAGGATGGAGGTGGGTGAGGTTTCTAAATATGCTGGTCGACCCGCAGACGAACAGCTGTTCATGAACGTCTGTGTCCAAAGGCTACGACAGTGACGTCGCCCGAGAGAAGACGGTGGATTACAGCACCAAGATTTACGCCGTCAGCATCCGAGATATGAGAGGAACCAAACCTCATCAACAGCTGAAGGAGGTGTCTGCCGAGGAGAGGTACACACACACACACACACACACACA